TCCAAGCAGTATGAAGATGCTCGTCCCAAGCACCAAGTAGAAACGAAAACAAAGACTGACAGCTCGAATTACCAGCAATAAACCTTCATGCTGGAATCCGATCACTCTATAAAATATAATAAAAAAATCACGAGCTCTCAATGAATAAAACTCTAAACTCTCTGAATAAATAATGGAATCGCTCGTTTTCTATCAGAGCTCGTGAAACTAATATATATACAGTTATATACGGTATGCAGGTTCATTAGAAATATGGAGTTTCCAAATTTACTTGATCTTCTCGCTCAAATTTGGAAACTGAATCTCCATGCCTTGTAGATCATGATGCTCGAATATCTTGCCCAAATATTTCAGATTTATACACGTCTCTCTCTCTTCAGTCTTGCGAACTTTCTTTCCTTGTTTCCGTGCGAACCTTCAGAAACATCTGCTTGCCGATTTCTTTCCTTTTCTTGCTCGATTGCTTGTCGATTTCTTTCCTTTTCTTGCTCGATTTTTCAGCTTTCTTTCACAAGATTTCAACTCCTAAATCTCACAAGAATATCTCCCTTTTATCATCTTTGCTCTTCCTTTTCCTACAAGTAAGATAAGATAATAAATAACACAACATATAGTAAGAGAATATCAAAATAAGGAAAGTGAATATACATAAAATCTCCTAATGAATATAATATATTTCCTTTACCTACAAGCTAAAGAAAGATAATTAAATCCAAATAACACAATAGAAGAATAACTAAAATATGGAAAGTTAAGATTAGAAATCTTCCCTTTCTCTTCAAGCATTAAATCCATGATACATGTTTCAAGAAACACAAATATGATAGATAAATAATATTTTCGATTAATGCCAAATTATTTTTTCTTACAGTCATCCTTTCACCTGGTCCAACGACAAGAAAGGGGCTGATTTTTTTGGAAGTGTTGTTGGATAGAATCATCTTATCCCTTAATTAGTCTTTATCTTTTCCAAAAGTCAGTGTTCAACACATCCCATTGATATCCTATGACCACTGTATGTTGATTATGGACAATAAGGGTAAAAAGCAGCAAAATAGAAAGATATTCTTTTCTGATGGTAGGTGGATTAAAGAGACAGGTTTTGAGGGTTTTATTAAGGAAGCTTGGAATGTGAATGTCCCAGAACAAGGGCTTTACTGCTTTCAGAAGAAGCTCAGAAATGTCAGGCATAGGTTGTTGGGATGGTCTGCCTCTTTAGCTACAAATTCCTCTAAAATCACTAAGGAGTGCAATTCCAAATTAGAGACTCTTTCTCTCCAAGGGGGATCAAGGGATTGGGAGCAATGGGCTTCAACTAAGGAGAAGATTCACTCAGCTTACAAAGATGAGGAGCACTTATGGAAGCAAAAAGCAAGAGTCAGGTGGCTTAGGGCTAGAGATTCTAACACAAGATTCTTCCAAGCTTGTGTCAACCAAAGGAGAAGAGTAAATAACCTAGAAAACGTGGTAAAGAGGAATGGTGATAGACGCCAGAGTTAAGAAGAAGTTGTGGAAGAGGTTTCTGATCACTTCACTAGACTGTTTACCTCTGAAAAATCTTGCAGGTGTTAAGGAAGTGCTGAGAAGAATTCCTAGAACCATTGATTCTGTCATGAACCAAAAATTAACTAAGATTGTGGATAAAGCAGAGGTTAAGAAGGCTCTGTGGGACATGGACCCAGGTAAAGATCCAAGAGTAGATGGTTTTTCTCTTCTTTTTTTTTCAATCTTGTTGGCCTATAATTAAATCTGATTTGTTTTTAGCTATTAGAACTTTTTTTTCCTCAAGCTGAATTCCTAAGTATACTAATCATACTGTGCTCACCCTCATTCCTAAAATAAAAAAACCCTCAGTTTTTTACTGAATTCAGGCCCATTAGTCTCTGTACCATAACATACAGACTGATTGCCAAAATTATTGCTCTTAGGCTTAAAGAGGTTATCCATCTGTGTGTTTCCTAAAATCAGATAGTTTTTTCCCTGATAGGCAGATTTTAGACAACATTATCATAGCCAATGAGTGTGTTCACTTCTCGAATAGCAAAAGAGAGGCAGAAAATTCTATATGGCCCTTAAGGTAGATATGGCCAAAGTTTTTGACAGGATTTATTAATATATGTAGGTCAATGGGTTTTTGTGAGGTCTTTTTGGGTTGGATTTGGTCCTGCATCAGTTCTTCCTCTTTTTTCTTTAATTTTCATGGCCAAACCCTTGGTTAGGGGTCTCAGGCAAGGAGACCCCTTATCTTCATATCTTTTCATTCTTATCTCAGAAGCCCTCTGGAATCTTATTAGAATTTTCAGTCATTCTCAGTCCTTCAAAGGTCTCAAAATCAACAAGTTTTCCCCTTCCATTTTCCATCTTTTTTTTTATTTTTTTGCTGATGACTCTCTTATCTTTTGTCAAGCTGATAAGGTTCATGTTAATATTCTGTTGGGTATCCTAAGGGCCTATTGCGTTGCTTCTGGGCAGTCTGTCAATATGAATAAATTCAGCAGTTTCTTCTTTGCAAACACCTCTCTGACTGCTAAAAAAGATATTTGCCAACTTCTTAATGGGATTGTTGTGGCCAAATCTTCAAAGTACCTTAGTCTTTCAATGGGGATTGGTATGCATAAAAACGAAATATTTGCTTTTGTGAAAGATTGTGTGAATAGTAGAGTGTCTAATTAGAAGAATGTGTTTTTGAGTGATGATGTGAAGGAAATTTTCATGAAAACTATTTTGAGTGCTATGCCTACCTATGTTATGTCTGTTTTTAAGGTTCCTGTTGGGATTTGCAGTGATATTTGCAGGGTAATTGCTTCATTCTAATGGGGCAGAAATGAGGAGGGTGGGAGCGTGATACATTGGGCTCAATAGAAGTTTTGAGAGGGAGATATTGTCATAAGCAGAATTTCTTAGAAGTGAAGAGAAAAGATTCATACTCCTGGATATGGAAGAGCTGGCTTGATTGTAGAAAATGTCTTTTGTTGGTATGAGATACCAGGTTAGAAGCGGGAACTACATCAGAATCTGAGATACTCCATGGCTTTCAAATACTACTAACTTCAAACCTGTTTGCTGCTTTGAGGTGGATAAATCTAGGTTGAGATGGGTCTTTGATCTTATGCTGACAGGGGGAAAATGTTGGGATACCATGTTAATACTACAGACATTTACACCTTATGATGCTGAGCTCATTTTGAAAGCGCATATTAGTAGATGGGGAGCTCATGATAGCTTATTTGGCACTCAAACAGAAAAGGCCTTTTCAATGTCAAGGATGCCTACAACCTAATTCATCAAAAGCAAGTTGAGTTAAAGGCTATAGCAAATTCAAGAATTGGCTTTGGTAGCAAGCACATGACTTGGCAAAAGATTTGAAAACTTCAAGTTAAACCGAAGATAAAAATTTTTGTCTGGAGATGCCTCCATAACTGGGTGGGCATCTATAACAAGCTACACCAGAGAGGAATTTCTGTAGATGAAATTTTTGGTTGTTGTGCAGAAGGCATATAGGACTTGGACCATATGTTATTCAACTACACCCGTGCTCAAAATATTTGGAAATTTGCAGGTCCCCATTGGTCTAGGGTCCAGCTCAGGCAGACTTCTTTTGCCTAATTGCGGGATGATCTCTGCAGCCTGAAGAATACAACTTTTAACAGAGACAGGATATCATTTTCCATGTATCTTCTATGGTGGTTGTGGAAGACGAAAAACAGTTGGATTTTCAAAAAAGAACTCATATGTGAAGTGGGTGTGGTTACCATGGCAAAAGCTGAGTGGCTTGAGTTCGAGAAAATCAAGTTTGGTAGAGGATTTGTGGAACCTGCTGACTCTCATACAACATGGGAGATTTTGCAAACTCCTAGTGTTGTAGTATCACCTCAAAACTCTTGATTAGTTCGTGGCTAAGTGCTCATTGACAGTTCTGAAGTGGATAGTTGGATTGCATCTAGGGTGGTTGTTGCTAGGCAACCAGTGGATGACACCCTCTTGCACTTAAGAGCTTGGTTATAGCAGGGGCTGGAAAAGCAATGGCAAAAGGTGATACTAAAGTTCAAGGACAATGATATTTTTATGTTGTTAACAACATATGGTCATCGTTGCTGGCAAGATGATGCTTTAGCATCAGATATATGTACCCTTCTGTCATTTTTCCCCTCCTCGACTCTGTCTTTCTGTGAATAGTTTTTTAGAGTTGTTGTTTTTCTTTTTTTTTTTTCCTTTGCTTTTTTGTTTAGTTTGTTCCTTGACTCTGTCTTTCTGTGAATAGCTTTTTGGTGTTATTGTTGTTTTTCTTTTCTTTTCCTTTGCTTTTTTGTTTAGTTTGTGGCCATATATGGTCCCTTAGGTTGGCTTTGTATGTAAGAGCTTTCCCTTTTCGACCCTAGTCGAGTTTTCTCTTGATGTTGGTTTCGATACTTCCATTTGGAAGTTCAGTTTGTACTTGACTTTGAGTTTATTAATCTATTTGATGTTTGTTAAAAAAATAAAAAAGTTTAGGTACCTTGCTACGACCTGTGGATGGAGGTACGCTACATAATTTTATACCCAAATCTCAATTCAGAAAACTAGAAACTCAAACAACATTGTTCAAAAACCTATAAGATTAAAAACGTGTCATTACTTTCCCATATTCAGTTGGTATACAAGGGGGTACTATAAAAAATCCCAAAAAACAACGAATAGACTGTAATTCAATTTAGCCACACTGTCAATATTTCACTTCAATCTTAAGTTCTTTTCCAATTGAACAAATCTCCCAGAATATATAGACTAGACCTGAAAATTTTCTTCGAAATGCAGGTCAGTCTCCTAGCGAAAGTCAAAAAGAAAAATGTACACTCGCAGCATTTTTCTTTTTCCCAAACCCCTCCAGAAAGCGACATGTTTCCCTCCTCTGATAAAAAGTAAGGACGCGTATGACCTCAGCGTACAAATTTGCAGGCTCCATCTAGAGATGAAAAAACGAAGACGAAAGAATAACTGCACAAGAACTCTTGGATAAGTAATCAGAGGTGCTTTCCGGGTCGCCTTCTTGATGGGCCACCAGGGAAGAGCTTCATGATCCAGCCCAACACCCTCTCCACCACCTGGTCCAAGCAAGAATATACGGGAAAAAAAGGACATGAAGTGAAGTATCATATCTTTGACTAATAATTCGAGAGAACGTTCGTTGAGAATTATTTAGTTATTATCAAGAATCAAATCAACATGAACATAAATCCCACATAAACCAGAAATTATACAATCTGTTGGAGCAAATTCTTTTTTACAAGAAAAGAGAGAAGGTAAAAAATAAAAGACAAATGGAATGAATAGAACATAAACCGTTGAATACATTTGCTGCTACATTTTTACGTTTTTCTGGACAGTGCAGCTCAGATTACATTACACTACTCAAAACAAAAGTCATTAAGGGGATATTCACTTGCATTCACTCTTCCAAATAATAACTAACTACATAGTACTAGGCGTGTGAAATTTCAGAAGGAAAAAGAAAAATAAAACAGCCAAACGACAAAGACATAGAAAATGTGACCAAACTCAATAGTCGGTTACAGATCAACTTATTGTACGACAGCGTTTTGAATACGTAAGGTTCATAATACCCAACTTTAAAAAAAAAAATTAGACTTTGAATGAGGCCAGCAACAAGAGAACTGACGGCATAAAAAATGAACCGCACGGGCTCACAATTTATAGTAACCGACGGTCAGTTATAAATCAATTAACAGTATGAATATGTAAAGGTTCGATGATAAACTTAAAAAATAACATTTTGAATGAGAGGCCAAGAACAAGGGTCTCTCTCTTTCTCCCCCTACAGCAAATGTTCCAGTAGTAGTCCTCAAGTTCAACAAATCTTTGGTTTTGCAGCTGATTTTCATTAGTATAATCCTGCTGTTGCAGCCATTTGAGGCCCAAAATCACAGCCTTTTGCTTTCATCGAGGCCGAATCGGTTATTTGTTTATTTTCATTTCTTGGTGTTAAAATGTCATACAAAATTTGCGCCGAATTACTGCTCCAAGTGCATCTTTGCTGCTTTTCAGCCTACTATGCAATTTTCTTGATGCTCTTTGAAATTTTGGAAATGCCGAAAATAAACCGCAATCAAAAGGATATCTCGGTTACCAAAACTTCAGAAACGATTAAAAAGGTATCAACATGAGTATATGATAGTGCCAAAATTTTCGATCCAGCAAGGTAGATGAGTTTCGGCTCAATTTAACAACCGTTTTCCAGCCCCACTAGTACTACAGATGCACATTTTGGTAAACATGATGTTTTAACACAAATAATACACCCAAGAAAAACACGGTTCGCTATCAAATCTGTCTTAGAGAAGTATTTACCACAAAATATCAGCACCACATCACAAACCAACAAAGTTTGCATGCACCAATAGTTCAAAAGAAAAATTATATAACAGGGTATAATTGATATATTACCTCATCACCTTCATCAGCATATCTCGTGCTTTCGTGGACCACCCTTGGATCCAGTTGTCTTTGTTGGGGATTATCAGCTGCAATACTTTGAGCCATCAAGAGCTCCAATCTCTGTGTTTGTGCTTCAAGCTTCCGGGTCAATTCCTTGTTCAAATTCTGTACCCAGGAAAAGAAGGAATAAGAGAGAAGAAAATACGAACGAGAAATCATGGACAGAATATCATGTGACAACACAACCAAGCAATCAAGAATCTTAAGAGTCTGATAAAGTGTACATAACCATCACAATTTTTAATAGTCACATAACACAAATGCTGTCAGTGCATTTATATGGCTTTTTGGTAACTTAGGTCACACATGAAACATTTCTCCACCACTCCCAAACCATTATTAATAACCATATACAATAAGATCGTTTTGTCACGGAAAACTGAGAAAAATCTGGATTGAACTCAAGTCCAACTATCTAATTAGTGTGCATAGAATCAGCGAGATAATAAATTCTATACGAATTAATATGCAGAAATATCTAAAAATATAGTAAACTGTAACGCCACACCGTAATACTAGCTCCTAAATCGTTTTTCTTAAATGACATAGCAGATAGAATACAAGGAAACTAGCAGAAGGCAAAACTACATTGGACGTAAATTACCAAAAGCTTGGAATTTTCAGATGATTCTGCTGACAAGGCTTGTATCAACTGATCTTTCTCCAATGTTAACTGCAGGCAAGAAAATTTACGAGTCATTTGTTGTTGTGGAAAATGCAAATCAACAAACTACTTTCAAAGAATATTGCAATTAAAACATGGCGGACAAGATGAAACAAAAAAGAAGTGAATTTTCAGTGAACATGGTATACCTCAGCGATTAATGTATTAACATTTTGAATCATTCTTATCTGGTCAGGAGGAATAGCCATGTGCAGACCCTCGAGATTAAGATGTGTGTTTTCGTGCGATAACTGAGAACCGTGGTTATCACCTTCCAGCAAGGCAGTGCCCAAATTATTTGAGTTTTCAGGTTCTGAGGTGGAACTGGTGTCTGTAGTTCAATATGTTAATCAACATATGGAGTCGGGAGCTCAGGAATGTAATAGAAGACAAATAAGGGGATACGCAACCATAAACTTCCAAATGGTGAAATAGATGTATTTTCCTAGTAGACTTGATAAATTAGCTATACATATTCAAAAGATTTTATTTTATGATCAATGGTATCAAATTCAACAGTAGACCTTCCAAGGAAAGGGAAGTAAACACTATCGTGTGATGGTGTTTGGTGTTCTTTGACATGACCGATAATAGGATAATCAAATACAGAGGAAATCTGAAAGTGGAATATGCTGGAATTCTATACCAAGATCCTCTGTGGACGTCGACGCATTCTTTTTATTGTCTGAAGTCTTGGTCAAGTCAATGGATTTTCCACCTGACAAAGCTTTGCGTAATTTGGACTGTAAAAGCTTTTTCTCTGCATAAGAGAACGAAAATAAACTATCACCGCATTGTGAATAGGCAGTTTAAGTAAGGATGGAAAAGAAAAACTAAAATTAAAAGGCATCATATATGTGTTTTCGGTCGATATAACGTTCTGCATCAAAGGACCGAATGCATAACAAATTTGGGGGTACCTATTTATTTTAAATCTGCATACAAATTCTTCTAAAAACAAACTTAAGGCTATGTTTGGTAGACAAATAAGCTAGCTTATAGCTTATTTGGTTAGCTTATAAGCTCCCTGTATTCAAATAAGCTCCGTTTGGTAGGACGATCTTTTTTTAAAAAGCTCAAGCTTATTTGATAACCTTCTTTGGGTAGCTTTTCAAATAAGCTCGTTGAAATTTTGATTTCAGCTAGCTTATAGCTAATTTTACCTAACACTTTTATCATGTAAGCTAGCTTTTCAGCTATAAGCTCAAAAATTAGTGAAAACTGAAAAGCTATCTGCTAGTTTTACCAAACATAGACTAAAAAGAATACAAAATATAACCTACCTTCTTGTAAGGCATCAATAGTTGAAAGTAGATCTTGACGATCTTTCTCGAGGGATGTCATTTTCTTCCTGTGGGAAAAAATCGCAAAATTAAAATTCAAGAGAGAGAGAGAGAGAGAGAGAGAGAGAGAGAGAGAGAGAATAACTGCAATACAGATAATCAAACTTTTAAAAGGAATGCTTACACTAGCATTTATCAGAATAATATTGTGATGACTTATAAGACCACACTGTAATGTAAGAAAAGAGTATTCCAAAGGAAAGCACGGCACTCAAATGAAAAATTAAGTTTACACAAACTAAAAAATCAGAGATCCTAACGTTACCTGAAAGAGGAAATTTCAGTTTGGCTATTTTCCAACTGCCTCTCCAATTTTAATTCATTGGACCTCAACCTTAATGCCTGCAGGAATCCGCAGAATAACCATCAAATACATGAAATGTAGAGAAATATAACAATAATAAATATTGTGCAAATGAACTGCTTTGGATAGGAGACAAACAGGTAAGACCAAAACAAAGATTATGTTGTGCATGAAGGTTACATAATTAATCACCATAGAAAGTGAAAGCAGATGCCACCAAGTATATCAGCCATCAGCAGTTCACCATTGAGTCAATCGATCATCAATAGAAAGTTTATGATCAGCAACAATACTACTCGAAGTTTAGAACACCTAATGTAAGCGATTTATTAAATTTTCAATTCTATTACTAATTATGTTGGCTGTTGCTAGTACAGCAACCAAATGCATTTCATAAGT